AGACATGGAGAGAGAGAGAGACGGAGATAGAAAGAGAGAGACAGAGAGAGAGGACCATCTCAGTTGGTTGGAATCTTTGACACACAGCACGGTGGCTCAGTGGTTTGCGCTGCTGCCTCACCATGCCAAGGACCCGGGTTCAATCCCACCCTTGGGTGACTGTCCCTGTGAAGTTTGTACATTTTCCCTGCATGTGTGGGGTTTCCTCTGGGTGCTCCGGTTTCCTCTCTCAGTCCAAACATGTGCAGGTTAGGGTGGATTGGCTGTGCTAAATTGCCAGTCGTATCCAGGTATAGGTGGATTAGCCGTGGGAAATACAGGGTTGCAGGGATAGGGTTGGGAGCAGGGCTGGGTCTGGGCGGGTTGCTTTTCGGAGGGTCTGTGTAGACCAGATGGGCCAAATGACCTGCTTCCACGCTGTGGGGATTCTATTCAATGACATACAAAGAGCCTCATCTGAATGAGTCAAAACAATGTCTTAAAGTCAACAGACAGGTCGTTTCTTACCGGCCTCCTTCCTGCGTAAGTAGATTAATCGGTATGGCTCACTTGCTGAGAGATTCAGTGATCCATCCGAGTTCAGGGGGCGAACCTGTAATGATTCAAACCTGTGAATTAATTCAGCACCAGGCCATCACAGGACCAAACCCAATCACCCAGAGGCCTCCCAATGTGAACCAGCTAGCGTAGTGATTCTGGGGTTGGCGGCTCTTTCATTTTATACCCCGCTCTCTGCCCGTCTCCCGCCCCCATCCAGTTTCTCGGCCTCCTTACTTTCTTCAGGGGAATGGTCTGGATCCACTCGCCAGTCTTCACTGCAAACACGTTCATTGCATTCTCGCTGTACACCGTCAGATATGGCCCGTGACAAGCTGTAGGGAACCAAAAAAAACCCCACATATTAACCCAAAACTCTACAAGAGCTGACTAACCTCCCTGCCCTTGCCCACAATGATCCCTGCACCTCCAAAGACTCTGGGTCAGACAGATGAGCGTGTCGGGATGGTGGGGAAATTAGCCGAGTTCTTCAACGCATTGTTCAAGTGAGTGAACAGTTATGTATGCCCTCTCTGGTTGAGTAGCCTTCCCTAAACTGAATGGGGATGGAGAGACAGTGATGTTCCTGGGAATGTAAACTGGCAATGGGCATGGTTTCTCCTCAAATCAATACGGGAACAGGCCATTTGGTGCATCTGCCCACCTCTCTTTCAACCTATCCCATTAACACTTGAAAGTGGAGTCGCAGGTAGACAGGGTAGTGAAGAAGGCATTTGGTACACTTGCCTGCATTGGTCAGTGCATTGAGACTAAGAGTTGGGAAGGTCATTGCAGATATACAGGACATTGGTCAGGCCACTTTTGGAATACTATGTTCAATATGGTCTCCCTGCCATGATGTTGTGAAACTTGAAAGGGTTCAGAAAAGATTTACAAGGATGTTGCCAGGGTTGGGCAGTTTGAGCAAAAGGGAGAGGCTGAATATGGCTGGGGCCATATTCCCTGGAGCATCAGAGGCTGAGGGGGACCCTATAGAGGTTTATAAAATCATGAAGGGGCACGGATAGGGTGAATAACCAAGGTCTTTTCCCCAGGCAGGTGCGTCCAAGTCTTGAGAGCATAAACTTAAGATGGGAGGAAAAAGATATAAAAAGGACATATGGGGTGGCACATGTATGGAACGAGCTGCCAGCGGAAGTGGTGGAGGCTGGTACAATTACAACATTTAAAAGGCATCTGGATGGGTATGTGGATAGGAAGGGTTTAGAGGGATATGGACCAAATTCTGGCAAAATGGGACTAGATTAGTTTAGGATATCTGGTTGGCATGGAGAGTTGGACCGAGGGATCTGCTTTCCTACTGTATAACTCTATGGCTTTATACCACTTCTTTCTTTACCCTCATGTGTTTACCCAGCTTTCCCTTGAATATATCCATGCTATTCAATAAAGCTTCTCTTATGGTAGTGAGTTCTGCATTCTCCCCACTCCCTGGGTATGGCGGTTTCTCCTGAATTCTCCAGTTGGATTTATGAGTGACTGTCTTACCTAGATGACACCAATTTCTGGTTTCACAGAGAAGTGGATATGTTGGCTCTCCATCTGCCTTAGCAAACCTTTAAAGACTTCTTCAAAGGTCACCTCTCACCCTCTCTATTTTAAGGAAAAGACCTCCGGCCTGTTCAATCTTTCCTGATGAGCGTAACCCCTCAGCTGTGGGATCATCCCAGTGGATTTATTTTGCATATTCTCCAGTGCCTCTATAGCTCGTTTTAATAATGTAGTGGTCAGGCTGATCACAGAAACTTGAAGTGTGATCTGATACAAGTTTAACATCACTTTTCTGCTTTTCAATTCTGTGCCTCTAGAAATGAATCCTATTTATTTCATAGAGTCATAGTCATAGAGTCATAGAGTACAAAAACAGACCCTTCAGCCCAACCTGCTCCTGGCCCATATCCCTCCAAACCTTTCCCATTCATGTATTTATCTAAATATATTTTAAACATTGTAATTGTACCCACAGCCACCATTTCCTCTGGGAGTTCATTCCACACACAAACAACTCTGTAACAAATTTGCCCCTCAGGTCTTTCGTAAATCACTCTCCTCCCATTTTAGAAATGTGCTCCCTAGTCTTGAAATCCCCCATCCTAGGGAAAAGACAACTAACATTCACCTTATCTATACCCCTCATTATTTTATAAATCTCTATAACGTCACCTCTTTAACCTCCTACCCTCCAGGGAAAAAAAGTCCCAGCCTTTCTTTACCTTTCGCACCCAGCAACATCCTGGTAAATTTCTTCTGAACCCTCTCCAGCTTGATAATATCCTTTCTATAACTGGGCGACCAGAACTGCACACAGTGCTCCAGAAGAGGCCTCACCAATGTCCTGTACAAACTCAACATGACTTCCCAACCCCTATACTCAAAGGCCTGAGCAATGAAGGCAAGTGTGCTAAAGAACTTTTTCTCCACAAACTTGCTAACCTGTGTCAATACTTTGACTGGTTTGTTAATCTGGAACCCTCAGATTCCTCCTACATTCACAATGACTGCTCCAAGCAGAGTCTGATCTTGTGATTCTTCCCATCAAGATGCACCAACCCATACATACCAATGTTGAAATTCATCTGCTAACTACATTGCTCATTTCGCAATTTTTTTTGACATCGCCTTGGATTACTCCTAAATTCCGGACTTACTCTCTCATTTGGATTAGAATGACATTTTGAAACCACATTTCCAATATCCAAGCTCAATTCATTTTATGTCAATGGTTAACCTGAATGATCTTTGAGGAATCCCACGGTCTTGAGCTTGTTTTTGGCATTGCAGTGAGCTTTAGAATGTTGCAGAACCGAAGAATGTTGTATCACAGAAAGAGGCCATTTGGCCCATCGTGTCTGTGCTAATCCCATTTACCAGCGCCTGGTCCGTAGCTTTGCAGGTTCCAGCTCTTCAGGGGCAGGTCCAGGCTCATTTTAAATGAGTTGAGGGGTTTCCTGCCTCAAACACCAAACTGGGCAGCAAATTCCAGACACCCACCAGCCTCTGGGTGAAAAGGTTTTCCCTCATGGTCCCCCCATAATCCTTCTGCCGGCCACTTTGAATCTGTACCTCCTTGGTAACTGACTCATCCACTGGGGGAATCAGGTCTTCCCTGACCACTCTGCCCCAAGTCCTTCGTTATTTTGTACGCATTGATAAAAACACCCCTCAGCCCTCCTTTGTTCTGAGAGAAACAACCCTAACCTATCCAAACTTTCCTCATTGCTTCAATTTTCAAGACTTAACAACATGCTTGTAAATCTCCTCTGACTCCAGAAAGATTTATGTCCTGCCTATAATGGGATGACCGGAATGGTCCAGCTGTGGCCTAACTAGTGCCCGTTAGATTTCCAGCAATTACATCCCTGCCCTTATATTCATTACCTCACTCAGTGACAGAAAGCATCCCATATGCTTTCCTTATCACATTTTGTACTCGTTCAGGGACCTGTGGACGTACCGTTCGAGGTGTCTCCCCTCTCAATACCCTCCTGTTTGTTGTATATTCCCTCCTACGTTTGCCCTCTCCAAACACTGAACCTCATAGTTTGAATCCCATTTGCCATTTTGGAGAAAGGACGTAGAACTGTACAGCAGAGGAACGGGTTCTTTGACTCACAATGACACCAAATTAAACTAATCCCTTCTGCCTGCCCTTGGTCCATATTCCTCCATTCCTTGCATATTCATGTGCTTATCTAAAAGCCCCTTAAATGCCCCTAACATATCTGCCTCCTCGACCATCAATGGCAGCGCGTTCCAGACTCCTGTCACTCTCCGTGTTAAAAAAAAAACTTGCCCCTCACATCTCCTTTGAACTTTCCCCCCCTCTCACCTTAAATGCATTTCAACATTTCAACTCTGTGGAAAAGATCCTGACCGTCAACCCTATCTATGCATCTCATAATTTTATAGATTTCTATCAAATCTCCCCTCAGCCTCTGCTGCTCCAGAGAAAACGACCCAGCTTCTCCTTATAGCTCATACCCTCTAACCCAGGCAGCATCCTGGTAAACCTCATCTGCACCCTCTCCAAAGCCTCCACATCCTTCCTATAATTTGGCCACCCACTCAAACAAATCATTAATATCTTCCTGTGGTTGACAGCCCTCCTCTTCACTATCAACTACCTCGCCAATTTTGTATCACATGCAAATTTCCTTTTCGTGCCTCTCACATTGAACTTTTAAATCTTCAGTGTGTAGCAGGGAGACTTGTGGCATTGAAAACCGCTTTCCGACAAACATTCCCCTTTGGTTCAGTGACACGAGACAATCCATTTATCCGTATGTGTGTCCCCAGGACGAGTGAGAGCGAGAGGCCCACTTACCCGCAGCGACGGGGTGCGTTGGCCACATTAGCTCGCGCTGCTCTGACCTCCGACCCTGGCCGTTGACGTACACGCCAACCGTGTTGAAGCAGAGCAGGTACAGGTCACTGGAAACAGTCACAGCGCACAAAGCCTCCGTCTGCCCGTGGGAGAGGAAGGCGAGGGAGGGGTCCTCTGGGCTCACTAAGTTGGTCGGGGGTCCCTCGCCCGCCAAAGCGTACAGGCTGAAACCGGCTGGATAGCCGATGCACAGGAGTTCCTCGAAGATGCCCATCCACTGAACCACCCCAGGGGCCTGGAAGTCCCGTGCCCGCTTGTATGGCTGCTTGCTGGAGGCCAGCTGGTAGCACGTCACATGTCGCTTGGAGGCCGTGCACAGCCAGAAGGCACCCTTCCCCTGGCACAGGCTGCCCGCGGTGATCATCTGAGAGCCCCGGGCTTCCAACAGCTTGGCTCCGGTCGCCTCTGGGTTCTTCAGGTCCTCCCAGGTGAAAACACGCACGTTTCGGCTCCTGCCAGATAGCACGGCAAGCAGTCTGGCACCGGGCACCGGATCGAGCTGGTGAACCCGCTTGCAGTCGCCCAGCAGCGTGATTTCTGCAATGCAAAGAGGTCAAAGATTTTGAGTAACGAGGCCCTAAGATTCAAGACCATCAATAATGTTGACTGTTTCACGATATATCCCCTGGCTGCCTTGGTCCACTGTCTTGTCGTGTTCCCCACGTATGTCAAATACATTCTCTCTCCATTTGACTCAGTCCCCTCTGCTCCCCGTCTCCTACAACCTCCCCACCCCCACCCTCGTCAACGCTCCTTTAGTCCTCCCCCTGACACTCCCACCCCGTCCCATTCTCCAATCCATCCTATTTCCCCCAGTCCTCTCCTCTCTCAATCATCCCCCTTACCCTCAGGCTCTCCATCATATCCTCCCCTTCTCTGTCTTGCTCAATCCCTGCCTCTCAACCCCTCCTCCTCCTCGCCGTCTCCCACAATCCCTCCTCCTCGCCGTCTCCCACAA